TGGCAGTCTTGATCAGGGGAAGGACGGCTGAGTAGCAGCAGCCGTAGATCAAAATCAGCTAGGTCATATCAGCCGCAGTACCAGAGACCCGGGAGCTCGGTTGCCCTTACATAGAGGGGTCTGACAAGATCGCCCATGTGGAGATTCCATTGGTGGACGAAATAACCCGGTGTATGGATCATCTCATAGCCAGCATAGGCAGTACCCCAGTAGGAACCCTAGGTATGATAAGCATTGAGCGGTATGCAGAATGCAAAGGATACACGTACAAAGGCACCGACCATCAAAACTATTCAAGAAGGAAGTTGTCAGTCTGTGCATTGAAGCCGAACAGTATGGGCATGCAGCTAACTTACCATCCTCGAGCCGAATGGAGCGATCTAGCCAGACCCGCACGTAGATACGCAAGCACATACACAGGGTGGCAACGACGGTGCAGACCGTAATGATGCCCCAGGCCAAACTGTTGTGGTTCGGAGGATTGTCGAAGTTAGGGGTGACGCCTTCTGGGGCCGCAAGGGCCGGCTGGGCAAACAGCGTGGCCAACTCGTCGGTAGACATTGCAATGGATGAGACCTTCCTCAATCAAGGTGGGCTCCATCGAATATAAGTTGTTCGTCCAACATGACAGGTCGAAAGGGGGTCAGTGTCGAAGTACGAGGATCGGGTACAAAACCACATGGCTACCGGGGGATCGTCCATGCCTCCCACTCCCTGGCGATTGATCTCTATCAAGTACTCGGTGGAAAAAGACTTTCTGACAGATTCCGTTTGCGTATCTGCATTCGCCTTGCTCCCCACTCACGGCCCGTTCGCCAGATGCTAGGAAGGCATCCGAGCCAACCGTTGTCGGGCGGGTGGGGACTGGCTGTGGTGGTGAAGGACCTCCTTGCCAACGGCGTTCAATTTGACAGCCTAATTTTTGGAAAATTGAGCCCACTGCGGTGCCACTACCACTCTGGCCGTGCCGATCCCTGTCACGGAGGCACTCAGGGTGGGCGCCCGATTTGCAAGACGGAATAACACTCCCAAGTGATGAGCACAGCAGTAGCCAAGAATGCGGGAAAATCGGTCGATCTGTGCGCCTTGGACCCAAGGGAAATCAAACAAAGTCCTTTGTGTTGTTTATCTATCCATTATTGATCTGGGGACCAGGCGTTCATTAAGCTCCCTTGAGTGGACAGGCGAACAGCAGCAATGCAAGGGTGACAGCTGATCACAGATTCCTATTCCTTTCCCCACTTTAGTGCCAAGTGATTAGCAGCTGACGGACTGTCTTGACAATTCCTTCGGAACGGCTGGACCTTGAAGAGCCACCTTCAGCACTCCAATCACGAATAATGGTAGCTCCTCCAAGAACTAGTCGAGATATCGTAAGCCGAGCGGCTTGTGAGGAGAGGAAGGAACCATCCCCCTCATGGCGGTTCGTCGCGGCGATCTCGGGGCTAGCCTACTTATAGGCGTTGCAGTACCCCTCAACTGCATCTTAATCGCACAGCCCCTGATTTCTCAAGCATTATGGCGACCGGTGAGTATCCTTTGCGGCTGATTCAGTTGTTCTTGCGACTCAGCGACTGAAACAAGAAAATGGGAACTCCTAGTCTCTCACAGCTCTCATGCGCCCGCAAGGGCCGCTGAGTATCCTAGTCAGGCTGACCTGCGCAAAATGATGGCTCAGCAACCCTTGCCTGCTCTCGAACCCAACCTCATCGACCCCGGGACGATGACTGGCGATGAACCGGCCGTTCAGGCGCATGCCGTGCTAGATCAGCTCAACACGGCCCTGTCCAGCAAAAACGTGGAGGCGCTCAAGGCCTGTTTCTATACCAGCCAGGCCTATTGGAAGGACCAACTGGCGCTCACATACCACCTCCGCACATTCAATACACCCGATATCATCGCTGCTGCGATGCTGGAAACAGCTCCCTTGCGAGGGTTAGGAGATGTGTCTGTAGACGGAGGCGCGGTCTTTATTCCTGCGACACCCACCTTGGTTAGTCACTACACACAATGTATGGTGTTGCAGATGCTGACCGTGGATGACAATACGCTAGCAATTCATCGACTGTGGAATCAGTTTCCGAACGAGCTTCCCGGCAGCGATAGGCAAGGGAAAGGTGGTACTCTTGCCAGTACAGACCGTGGAGAAGACGATCGAGTGGAAGATCTGGGTTTTGAGTACAATGCTGGAGAGCTTGGATCTTCATCCGGAAGACCAGGGACTGTTGCAAGGATCGAGCAAAGAGTACCCTGATCCGGAGAGATTCGATACCGATGTGTTTATCATTGGAGGCGGAAATGCGTAAGTGGAAGAAAGATGGCAAGAATGGGAGAACGGAGGCTAATGGAAGATGGTGGTTGAAAGAGCTGCCGCGTTGGCCGCGCGCCTGAAGACGCTGGGAGTGGAAAGTGTCATGGCCGAACGCAACTCCCACGTCGGCGACAATTGGGCTCGTCGCTACGACTGCATGCGCTTTCACATTCCCACCTCCTTCTGCGATTTCCCGTTCATGCGTAAGTCATTTCTTTTCCCCAAGTGGGTACAGTACAAGCCACTTTTATCTGACAAGGGCCCTTGACATCATGGAATCCTATAGCTTACGGCCCCGAACTCCAATCTCCCCATCTGCTCTCGCGCGACGACCTGGCAGAGCAAGTTCGACGATACGTTGCGACCTTTCAGCTGAACATCATCACGTCGGCTCAGATCCAGTCAACCCAATACAACCAGGCGACACAGCAATGGCAGATCCAGATCCAAACCCCGATTAGCCGACGCACGGCCATTGCAAAGCACCTCGTCCTCGCGGCTGGCATTGCATCCCAGCAGCCCTACGTGCCTTCCATCCCCAACAAAGACGCCTACCAGGGTATCAACATTCACTCAACCCAGTACCAGAATGCCAGGAAGCTGGTGGACCAGGGGGCTAAGGTAGACACTCAATACATTTTCGTTCTTCGGCCAAGCTAACTTGACCCCCCCAAGTCCGTCCTCGTCATCGGCTCCGCCAACACCGCCTTCGATATCCTCGAGGACTGCCACGCCGCCGGACTACAAGCCACGATGAACGTACGCTCCCCGACCTACATCGTCCCGATCGAGTACCTTCTCGACAAGCGCAGTCTAGGCGCCTACGACCTCGGCGTCGAAGCCGCCGATCGACTCTTCCTCTCCCTTCCCGCCGTGATTGACAGCCAACTGGGCGATGGTTTGATGAAGCTCTTTTCATCCCTGGAACCCAACCGCTACGACGCGCTCGCCGCGACAGGCTTCCCCGTACGCGACAGCTCCCACGTCGAGTCCGTTCTCATGCACAACCTGCTCGAGCGCGCAGGCGGCCACTACGTCGATGTCGGCGGCACCAAGCTGCTAGCCGAGGGCAAGGCCGGCGTCAAAGCCAACGGAGAACCGACTGCATACACGGCCACAGGACTGACCTTCTCAGACGGTTCCTCGCTGGACGCCGACGCGGTGGTCTGGTGTACCGGGTTCGCCGATCGGGATGTCCGCGACACCACAGCAACGCTGCTCGGTGGTGGGGCTCGTGCTGCGTCGGGAACTGGCGACGACGACCTCGCAAATGCGGGTGGTGAATCTATCCTAGGTCCCGAGGAGATCGCGGCCCGTGTCGACGCAACCTGGGGCGTGGACGCGGAGGGCGAGATCCGCGGCATGTGGAAGCGGCATCGCCAGCTGGACAACTTCTGGATCATGGGCGGGTTCACGCAGCAGCATCGCTGGCATTCGCGGACGCTGGCGCTGCAGATCAAGGCCGCTCTGGAAGGGGTCTTGCCGCCAGCTTATCGGGACACTCCGCGTGTCTAAAGGATCGATACTGGAGAGTTGTCGTTTTGGTGGTGGGGGTTTCATGCATATAGTTCTATCTCTTGGGTGGTTGGCTGTCTTATTTCGTGCCGTAGAATTTTGTATCGTTGCACAGTGAGCGCGGGGCCGCGGAAAGATTCTCAAGCTCCAACTGACGCTCCTTAATGTTAATCTAGATCCGAGCACACAAGCATACTCGTGTCTGCTTTGTTTGATATACTCCGATATTGCCTAATGCTATGCGGTGACAGTTCAGCGAGGACGGTCGATACTATTTGTTTTTCTGTCTTAGAAGCCTTATCGGTGCTAGATATAGTTCTCGATACCAATCTGACCCTGCTCCTTCTGAACGGGAATTTAGAAGACAAAGTTTCATGGAGGGCTCAGAAGCGGCCAAACTTGTTGCAGCAATACTAATAATCGAGAACGTAAGCGATACAGGGCTAACCGTCCCGGACTGCGCTTCGTGTTGTAAAGCCTACCATCAGTTCTATTTTTCAGTAACTTGAGATACGATAGAAAGCATGTGGGTACAGAAAGTTCTGAGTTGACTCATTTGGTGGTCTTAAATACTGTTCAAGGGATTTGTGTAGTGTCCTTGACGTATCGGCCTGGTTATATATCTTTCGTTCCAGAACACCTCTATAATACTCCGCAGCCAACGGCGTATCACAAGCAGATGGGACCAGAAAAGAAAGTGAGATAAAGTTGAAAAGTCACTAAGAATAAACATGCACTGCGAGTAGTCCAGGTGTATCACAGTTTTGACGTTGTGTTGAAATATAGTTCAGGAATTTGAAGTTTGATTGAGGACGAACTGCTCGCGTGCTCTTTTCTCACCGGCCCGGTAAACTTACTCTCAGCGAAATGAGTCAAATTTCGCTAGGAATTCAAAATTGTGCAAAAAGCAGTTTTATTCGAGGAAATTACCATAGATACTCTTCTTGTATGCTTGAAAATGATTGTCGGCTCCGTGGTCCCCATATGTGGGCTTAAATTACAAAAATAATCACAAAAAGAAGTTGGTGGCAAGTTGGAATTTAGCTGGCCAGGGGAGGTATGTACGATTGGCACTCTTCTTGATTTAGACGCAGTGATTCTATTGCATTCCTTCTATAGCCCTGCTTGGAGCAGTAACTACAAGATCCAAAATGGTATATCCGCTAGATTGCATCCAACGTCCAGAAGCAGCTCGAATTTGTAGCCAAAAAAATGTCATGAAGATTGTCGTGTAGATCACCAGGATCTGTCACACGTTGTCTAGTCAAAGTACTTCTTCATGAGGTTGTGAGCCAATTCCACACCAGCACTATGCATCGTCAGTATATCATCGAAGAAAAGAAGCATAGAACTTACAAAGTCGCTGCGTTGGCTGGGACCGCACGGGCCAGGGCAGGACCAAAGCCGGGGAAGAACGCCTTGAACCCGCCGTTGGCATAGACAGCGCGAATGGTTCCGCCGATCGTGGGCCGACCGGGGGCACTCTGCAGGCGAGACTTGACGGTATCGACGGGGAAGACCGGAATCCACATGGCGATTCCAGCAGCTCCGCCTGCGGCCAGCACAGCGGTCATCGACAACTCGCCCGTGACGCGTCCCTGCTCGTCCTTGGGCGTCAACGTCCGCTTGATGTACTCGTACGCGGCGAAGTACGCCGCGGAACCGGGTCCATCACGGGCCAGAGTCATCGCGCTGCCACGGAACACACTGCGAATGCCCCCCTCTTTGTACAGTTGGCGAACCACATCCAAGCCGCCCGAGTACTTGGGCTTCTGGCCCGGCGGAGGCGGGTTTTGACCCTGAATCTGAAGAAGCACCTTAACGCGCTCGAAGGGAGCCGTGATCAGAGTCATGGGAATCGCCGAGAAGAAACCCGCCGCAGAGATCTGGCCGATGGTGTATTGAGGAGTGTTGTGCTTCACCTCTACGGTGGACAACTTGCCGACAAGCGTTTTTCCTACATCGTAACCCTGCGATGGTCAGCTGAAAGTTCCCAAATGCTTCACAAGCGATAAAACGTACCCAAAAGCTAACAGCAACTGGTTCGAAAGTTCATCGTCAGTGAAAGACTTTACATGCGAAATTCGCGCACTTACACATAGGCGTCACTCCCACCAGGGGAGCTGAAACACCCGCGTACAATCCCTGCGGCGAGTTAGTGTGACTTCATAAGGCCATCCGTAAACTCGCGACTTACACGAGCAAGACCTTCGCGTGCGACCGTCTTCTTGACCACATCTATAGCACCTGCGTAGACGCCCCGTTCTGCTGTCTGCAACCGCACCTTGACCAAATCGAAAGGATGACCGACGACGACGGCGCACACACCGCCCACACCACCCGCTACGAGGGAGCGGATCTGTGCGATTGTTTGGTTGACGGGCTTGATTTCTGGGACGGGGACAACCTCTGGGATCGGAGGCGAGGCCGATGTTGATGTGGATGTGGTCGACATGGCGGAAAGGAAGATGTTCGAAAGATAAGATGAGTGTCAGGGAGGGAGGGTGGTAGGAGGAGGAAAGAGGAAAGAAGAAGATCGTGTGGTGAACAAAAAGCAGAGATATGGGTCTCGAAAGAATAAGAAAGATAGAATTGGGTAGAAAAGAAAGCCAGCAGAGCAGAGCTAAGTACGTACAAGCGATCGGTCGGTCAGTCGGTCGGTATTCCGGAGTAAGCTAATCTGGGGATTGGGGATTGTGGATTGTGACGAGGCCGCGGGGAGGAGGGAACCTCGGCTCGGCATACGGATCAAATATGGCTCCGAGAACAAGGGGTCAGTCGCGGCCTTTCCTTCCGAGGTCATTGCCGTCTTCTGCCTAGTGACGGTGACATTGTGAGTGAGATGATTGATTGACACTTCCCAATCTCATCGTCATTCATCCAGCCCATTCCTCGTCATAGCTGCCCGATGAAAGTCACAAATCTGACAGAACACTGTCAACAACAACATCCGAGCATGTTTCTCCTCGTGGTCAATGGCACCGGGTGAGCGGAAGTCAATCGTGGCCGTGTTGATGATCATCTGTCCAAGGATTCAGCAACGGACGACAGGAAGATTGCTTATCGAGGGGGAAGGCGGGCACATGACTGGTGACTATGCCAAGCCTTCACATGCCGGTTTCGGTCAATGCAGGGATGTGGCTAGTGTGGCTAGTGTACATGGACGGCGGTGGCTGATATCCTCATAGTCTCTGTACGATGAACATATCAAGTAACTACAGATCATACTGTGGCTCTGTGGACTTTATTGTTCGTCTTACTGGTGATCCTGATTCTCTAAGCGTGGTATACGCACAGTGACCGGCGTTTCATCACTACCCAACGGTGAGCATGCCCCTTTCCCCTTTTCAACGTAGACTCCCTTCTGACACCCTCACTGCAGGGGTTCGTCCACTTGCTGGTTCGGAGCCCCAAGGTTGTCTCCTTGGCCGCGGAGATAAATTCCTCAGAGATCTGGTATAATAGAGATCATCTCGCGTCTTCAGCAAACAGTCAAGGTAGCCAGAGTTCAGGGGAGATGAGTTTCCGGCAGATCGACCCTGCAGATCTATGACAGGTTCGTCGAGTCCGCAGTCTGCCGTTCCAGACTCGCGGCTCGGCAGCATACAGATCGCACGAACCGGTTCCAACTCTTGTTTCCATCTGCACCATTGCATCATTGATCCTAAATTGGTCCGATCGCGTGGTTGACAACTTGACAGCTGAAGGCCATCGATCGATCCTTCACTCTTCTGTGATGCCTTTTGGTTTTGTCGATTTTGCGATACATCCAGTGTTGGTTGCCTTCTGCTGCCTCGATCGATCGGATCTTATATATCAAAATGCAACCGAGGGCAGAATTTATAAAGCAGAGAAAAGATTCCTTTCACGAGCCACATAGACCCCCAAACCTTTGTGCGACGCCGTGATGGACCAATACACCAGTTTTATGGATACTGAGTCGCTGCGCTCCGAGCCGTCGACCGTCGCGCTCGACAACTACCCAGCCTCACCGTGAGCCAAACTCGCTCTCAAAGAAAAACTCAGCTCTTGCTTACTGGCGTGCAGACCCCCAGAAGCACTTATCGCTGGCTTTCCTCACCCTCCCAGCCGGGCTCGCAAGGATGACGAGCATCCTAACCTAACACCCAAGCCGTCCCTCAAAACCCTCCGTCGCAACTACATGATTCACGAGCTGCCTCTCCTCCACGAGCCCAATCCTTACTACAAAAATGACAGCGATCAGCAGCAGTTCCATCCGCTTCAAGAACCAGGCCTCTCATATGATCTGATTGCTCCAGCCGCATCTGACGACGCGGCTCCCCTTCACAGTCTTGAGCGTCTCGCCGACCTCATGTTTTCTTCCGAACACATGCTCTCGATTCTCAACAATCCACGCTATCTTGCGCGATTTCGCGAATTTCTGCTCGAGGAGCGTCCGCGCTCGCTCGCCCTCCTGACATACTACCTCACAGCTCGCAAGGCTCTTCTAGCCATTGACTATGCCAACGCACTGGTCCGGTCCGTTATCGACGCGCCTCCAGTCACAATCGCGACGCCCGACCCAATCGTGGGCCAAATCTCCCACCCCGTGCTGTACCAGCGCGTCACCGAGGCTCTGCAGGCCCTCACAGCGGAGGAGCTTCCCGCTTTCATCACCGCCCGCTGTATCAGCTTGACGAGTAGAGTGGTCGAGGAGCGCGTACGCGGGACTCTCCCGCCCAAATTCCAGGGTGCGTCAGATGCGCTGGCGGAGGTGTTCTGCTTGACCGATCCGTCACGACGGGATAATCCCATCATTTTCGCCTCGGAGGGTACGTTCTCTTCTAACTGATCGGCTACTGGCCAATTCTGATTCTGCGATTGACAATCGTCTGTAGAGTTCCATCGCACGACTCAATACGGCATGGACTATGTGCTCGGTCGCAACTGTCGGTTTTTGCAGGGGCCGAAGACCAATCCCAACAGTGTGAGACGCATTCGCGAGGGCATTGAGAATGGAAGACATCATTCCGAGCTGTTCCTGAATTAGTGAGTCGCCCACGAGCCGGACCCCAAAGCACTGAGATTTTGCACGGGGCGAGAGATATACTAACGTGCGAAACCAGCCGCCGCGATGGCTCGCCGTTCATGAACCTACTACAGTGCGCCCCACTGTGCGACAGCCGCGGCACGGTGCGATACTTCATCGGCGCCCAAATCGACGTCTCCGGGCTGGCGATGGACGGTGCACAGATGGAGTCCCTGCGCGCTCTGCAGGCCAAGCAACGTCGAGCCGAGGCCAAGGCGGCGGAGGATGCGCAGGAAGAGGACTCCATGGAGATCATCCAACCGGAGGAAGGGGTAGAAGAGGAAGGCGGGGTGCAGGTCCGTTTCGATGAGGATGATAACGCAACAAGAACATTCACATACCCTCCGACCCAACCACCACTCAACCACGAACCGTCGCAGGCAGTGATGGAAAATGGCCATCACCCACATCACCGGGTCGGGGAGAGTCTCGGATCATTCGGATCGGTGTACAGCCAGAGGGACGACGGCGAAGACGACGACGACGACAATGACCGCCCCAAGGACGAATTCCGGCAGTTGACCGAGCTGTTCACCCCGCGGGAGTTGAACGTGACGCACGAGGTCGGCGGGACACTCTTCCACCCCAGCGCGGTGTCCAGTACGGCCGGGATGCTGGATCGGGGCAGCTGGCAGGCGATGAGTCGAACGTGGTCGATGGTCGAGGACGAGGCGATCCGGGAGCGAGAAATGAAGGAGTCCATGTGGCGAGGCTCGTTGACCGGGGTGTATGAAAATGTAGGCATCCTTTCTCTCTCTCTCCCTTTCCCCTTCGTGTCTTCACTTGTTTCTATTTGCGTTTATGGCGACTGGTTTGCGACTGACACATGAACCAGTACCTCCTCGTGCGACCGTACCCCTCGCTGCGGATTCTCTTCACCTCCCCCGCGCTCCAAATCCCCGGCATGCTGCAGTCTTCATTCCTCTCGCGTATCGGAAGTACCTCGACCGTACGTGAGGAGTTGCTGGAAGCACTGAAAGGTGGGCGGAGCGTCACCGCGCGCATTAAGTGGGTGACGAGGTACAACACTCAAGGACGCGATCGATGGGTCCATTGCACGCCATTGCTGGCGAGTAACGGGGAGGTGGGGGTATGGATGGTTGTGGTTGTGGACGACGATTGAGCGGGTTTACTATCTTTGGTTTTTTTTTTGAAGAATACAGGAGCGGGGCCGGGGCCGGTGTTCGGTGTAAAACAATTCGTTATTCGTGGGGAATCATCTAGACTAATACGTGCGTGTGTCTATAATAAATATATGACCCTTCCGTTCGTCAACAGCATCAAGCTCAGCTTCGTCGAGAGAGCAGGCCCTCCGCTTCCTCGCCGTCCCGGTCGGCCAGATTTTCGGCAACGGCCAGCCCCTCGGCGCGGCCCCGTTCCGCGTTGATGATCCAGATCAGCGGGATCGGGAGCAGGATGAGCACCGCGACGAAGAAGAACCCGCTCCGCACCTGGCCCGTCTTGTCGATCATCATGCCCACGATGGCCGGCCCAATGAACGAGCTGCCTTTGTCCGTGGCGGCGTACAGGGCGTAGAAGGCTGCTTCGCTGCCGGGAGGAATCAACAGCCCGAAGAAAGAGCGGCAGTACGAGGCCAATCCGCCTCCGACCACGCCGTGCACAATAGCCAGGGGATAGATCTCCCAGGGCTGCTGCAGGCCGATGACGCCCCAGCGCTGGACAAAGGGCAAGTAGGCCAGCAGTCCGTACAGAGGAATCAACTCGAACAGCGCAAGACACAACATGATGGTCTGATGTGACTGCAGACCCAGCCGGCGCGACACAATCGGCCACAGGAACGCGCCCGCCATGCCGGAGACCGTGGCTGTGATCGACAAGAGCGCGATCATGGTGGTGCTCAGGTGCAGCTCGGTGCGCGCGAACAGAATCGCGGTGCTGGACACCGTCGCCAGCGCATCCGATAGCAGGAACCAGGCCACGAGGAACAGACGCATCTCGCGCAGGCCCACCGCCACCCGCGCGGTTTTCCACAGCGACTTCCAGGCGAATCCCACAAGGCTTAGCCAGAGCCGCCACCTAGCGCGGGGCGGGCCGCCATTGTGTGTTGCGCCGCCGGCCTCCTCTAGCGGCGGGCCGGGGCGGGTGCGCAACCACCGCCGGCTGACCAGTGTGAATGCGCACCACCAGAGGCCCACTAGTAGCAATACGCAGCGCAGCGGAAACGTGCCGAATGATTTGCCAATCGAAGTCTTCGAGAGAGTCAAGAGGAGTCCAATGCTGAGGATTTGAACGAGAACTGCGGCGCAATAACCAAGTCCCACTCCTTTGGACGATATGCGCGTTGACAGCTGCAGTTCGGGAGACACTGCCTTCGTTTTAGAGGACCGACCGGATTCGCCCTGGTCATGACCATGCGACCGGGCGGAATGCGTGCGAAAGTTATCGTCATCTTCCTCCCCGTCAGGGTGTAGCTGGTGAAGCTCTTCGGGGGTCTCTTTGGTTGGCGAAGCGATGGACGGGTCGTTTGCGACGAGGACGGGCAGAAACGAGTTGAGCACAACGAACGAGGACCCCAGACATACAACGCCTACCACAACCAGGAGCGCACCAAAAATATAGACTGGCGGGGAAATTAACATGAACAGCATGCTCGTTACGGATCCCACGAAGCCGAAGGTCATGAGGAGGGTTTTGCGGTTACTCTCTGCAAAAGTGGAGCATCGTGGTCAGTGCTGATGTATATAGCAAGGAACCGGAGAGAGGGAATCTGGTGGTCATACCGTAATCTGCCAGTGCGCTGAACGATATCAGAGTCAAGGCTTGCACTAGCACCGCCAGGGAGAAGGTGTACATGGCGAAACTGGCGGTGGTGATCTCCAAGCCCATCAAATGGACTACGCATTGTTCATTGGAGTCGCCCGATGGAGCGTTGGGCCCAACGCATGGCTGATGGCTGGATTGTAGTGATCCCCGCTCGCGCGCCAATTGCTCGAGGGTCAGTGGGAGGAATGATCCTAGGACTACTTAGTTTGTGCTGAGATTGAGGTGCACATGGATGAGGGAAGCAGAGACGTACCAACACCGCAGACAGCGAAGACCTCGGCAGCGATGCCGTAAGCATACCAGCCCCAGATTTCCTGTCGGCTGGTCGGGGTGGTATCCTCACCGGCATAGCGCGGCGGACGTGAGGAGAACTCCTCATCCGAGAGGGGATCAGGGGCTGGAACTGAAGCCATTGAGAAACTTTCTGAGGGGATGGAAGACTGACAAACTGGAAATCCAGCTGTACCTGGTGAGAATGTCCGGCACTTCCGGAAAAGACGGTATTGAGATGAGTCAGCAAGGTCCACGGTGCATAACTTACGTCATTGACCCCGCCCGGGGCCCTTATCTGCACTTGCCTAATTAGGACGAGGTTCTTGGTGTCGGCATCACTCATCACCACCTGGCACTACAGTTCCGCCCTGCAATGCCTTTCTCCTTCGCTCTTCCCCCTTATTGCGAAAGACCATTCGAAGAGTTGATAAACCATCGACTGAATGCTGTTCAGATCATACCCCACCGTCATCAACGTCTCAAACAGCCTGCTAATCCGACACACACTCCTACTTCCCTTTGGATTCAGATATCACAGGACAGGTGCCAGAACAACGAAATCTGTCTTTGCTCGACGATCCAAAGAATATCTGCAAGGCTTAGCAGTTTGACTTGCTAGAAAATGTACCATGACGCTCGGAATGCTGCTCAATGTGCCTTCCTTGCCGCCGTGATTGACACTCTACACATGCCAAGTATGCAACAACTACTAACACATGACTATCATGAGACGAGTTCCAAGATGTGAAAAGCAAATGGTTACAGACCTACAATTTCATGACGATCAATCACGCCTTGTGAGGCGGCTCCTGAGCAGAGGAATAACCATGAAACCCAGCGGCTGACCGCAGCATCGGAAACAGGGCGGATGATCTCGGAGCTCTAATCGAGGCCCGCGCATACCCATACTTCTCCTTTGCCACTCGGTGTCACGCATATTCCGTAGCTCTGAGTCGTTCACAGGATGGCTCGGGGCGCCGGTGGCGGGTGAAATGATCTTCGTTGTGTAAGACAGGCTCCGACGGAGGCCACCGCGGAGGAACATGGTAGGGAACGCCCTGTGAGTGAGTGGGTCCGACGGGGCTCTAACTCTGGGGCTTGGGGACTTGGGGCTGATGATACCAATTAGGTATGTAGCACGATTTTAGCACTCGATTGAGCGGGTCTGTCGACTGGCGCTGAACATGACGATCACAGGCGGATAGGGCTCGGGAGTTCCCCCCTTCGGATCCGAGAATCCTTCAAATGCGATCTACTTCGAGAAAATGTCGACGAACCCATTAGACGACATTCCAGTAACACTCCCCGGTCTTCCGACGTGGTCTTACGACATTCGGAAGCGTACTGCACGATTCGCCAGCCTAGAACTCTAGTATTATAGGAGACGCGATGATAAGCTGACCAGTCAATGCTCCCGACTAAGCCGTGAAACATGGCTATGTAACCTACAACATCATGGTTACCTCAGATGCTCTGCCTCGGTCTATACGCTGTTGAACCTGGAAAGTAGTATTGAGGTGGTAGAGGCGGATGTACCATACTGCTATTTTCCCCCTTCTTTGGCACCAGAGCCCGTTTTAATATCTGCGTTGATTTGTACCAGTATATTTACCTGTGTCAATTGGAGCTGAAACGCAATCATCAGCATTGTCCTCAACCTGTGGGTTGTAGTATTCACAATGAATCAAGACAAGTCGTCCCAAGTTACCACCGGTCCACTTCCCAAGAGTGTGAAGGTCCGAACGACTTGCAACGCTTGCCAGCAGGCTAAGATTCGCTGCAGCCATGAGAAGCCATCATGTTTACGATGCCAGAAGCACAACTACAGCTGTATCTACAGTATTTCTCGACGGTTAGGGCGACCGGCCAAGAAAAAAGATACTGCAGCGAGTGGGAGTCATTTCAACATGCAAAAACATGCCCGGAGCCCTGTGGATAAGAGATTTCGTGGGTACCCTAGAAAGAAGAGGATTATAGAGGAGTCGGTGCACGAAGCCAGAGCCAACCTATCAAGCTACCAATGTGTCAATGAGAGAGCGATGCTTGACAACAATGCAAGCGATAGCCTCGAAAACCTTGGTATTGATGATGCTAGTCTACACCAAGACTGCTTCGTGGATCCTAATCGTATGACTCCCTGTGGCACCTATGTTTTACTCCCACAATATCACCTGCTTACAAGATCTAAAAGTTTCCGACGGCAACGACCTATCTTCAGATAATTGGTTACAGGAGTTCATGTCTAATCCTGTCGCTGAGCTAGTGCAGGAGCGCGAACTGCTAGACTCCCTCGGCTTGAACAACACCAAGGCTGAGAGCGTCAACAACACAAGTCCCTCTCATTCAAGCCACTTCACAAGCCCATCAAGAAGTTTCCTTACAACGGATTCTCAAGACCAAGCCCCAGAGTGCTACTACCTGGCTCCGAGCAATTTCCCTAGTCACAGCCAGTCCCCTGCGGATGACGCCCACGGACTTGTAGATAGTCGGGCCTCTGACCCTGAAGCTTTGAAGAAAGACTCTCTCGCCTGGCTACAGCCGGCTACGTCGTCTATCGATGGCATTTCACCAACGGTAACGACAGCGATGTCAGCGACGGAGCCTCCGGGCAGTTTCATCCCAACCAGAGCTCCGAAGCTTAATGACGTCTACAACTATGTGCCAGAACACTTCAAAACAAACCCCACCATGACTAGTTTCCAATATCAGTGCCAATGCCACGAACCGACGATACGCGAGTTGATTCAGGTCAATAACTTTGCATCGCGTGCGGGACCTGCGGCTACGATTGACTCCATTTTGAATTGTCAACGCGTGCTGCAGCAACTTTCGCACACCATCCTTCAATGCAGTCTATGCTCCCGTACTTGGATTAACCTCCTAATGATGGTTGTGGTCAGCATTGACAGTCTAGTGACCGCTCTAGAAGCCATCATATCGCTGGACAGCGGACTAGCAGAGAGGTTGTTCGCCGAGAATTGCGAGCCCCTCCCTACAGGGAACAGACCCGATAAAATTCCCAACGCGAACCTTAGACGATGCCGAGCAAGCAGCCTCTATCTGAAGACACATGTGGATGCCTGTCCGTTAGTGGTAGGAGGGTTCTGTGTTCCATTCGAGGACAAATTGTTTTTCATAGCACAGGTGCTGTACCTCCGGTTATCAGAGTTGCAGATGACCGTTCGTCGCATTCGTCTATGTACGCAAGAGTTTCTGACTGCACCTGCTGCCCGGGGCAGGCTGGGAATGATAATGGAGACCGATCAGCGGCTGGAGCTAGTTATGATGAAGACTAAATTGCTAGCACAGTTATGATTTGTTACTCGCTCATCCCAATCATCTATCACTTTCAGCTCAAAGAATGTTCTCCTCGCTTTCCTTTGATTCTCTTTCACAACACCACAGGCCATAGAAGGTAATGTACGAGACCCAACCTGTCGTAGTGCCTTGTCTAGGCAGTCACATAAGCTGCATGCTAGACCCAAAAAAGTAGGAGCATCAAGGTTGCTGCCTGCGCACTAGGGCATGGCCGAGAGCCAGCTGTGTGACGAGTGCGCGGATCTCATAGCATACTACGTCGCACAGTGAACTGGCTTGCCCAGGGAACAGACCAACAGAGCCTTCCCACCGGAAGTGATATAAGGTGAGGCTGTTCTAGTACCTCAGCGGCACGACGTTGTGATTGGGCTGCAATGTAGAGTCGTCGCAAGGCATGTGAATTCAGGCGCAGCGCAAGCCAGTCTTCCCAGGAGCCCAGGCTTGCGGCGACTGTGTGCACGAATCGTGATCTCGTTCGACTCAACCTCCTACCACAGCAAAGATGGGGGTCTCCATCTTATCTTTCTCGATACAACGATGACCCTGTGTTCGGAGCAAACTGGACCTGTCTGTTAGAACGCGCCATTCGCTTTCTGAGCCCCGCCGTGCAGTCATGGACAGCAGCAGCTGCTCCTGCTCGATACGTCTCCTGCAGATCATGACCGAGTGTCGGAACCTGCAACCGGTCGTGGAGCTCGCCACCATCCTGGACCTGGTCCACCGGGTCGTCACCCACGGGAAAGCGATGGTCAAGTGCAAGGGCTGCCGCAGCAACCCGCACTCGTCCTTTGCGATGCTGCCCGCGCTGGCCGAGCAGTGCCTGACCCTCCTCGAGGCTAGCAGTCTGGCCTACAGCATCACGAGCACCAACGGCAGCACGCTCCTGGACCCCACGGTGCTGGCGTTCGAGCAGCCGCTGTCGCAGTACATCTGTCTGCGCAGCCCGTCGCAGCTGGGTCGCATGGAGCTCGACGAGAAGGAAGCCACCCTCCTGGTCCGGACGCTGATCGGCCGCAACGCCAAGCAGTTTCTGGGTCTGCTCGAGAGTCTGCAGAAGCTGCTACAGTCGCTGGGGAAGGATATTGAGCCGGCCTTGCCGGCCCTGGGTCATGCCGTGCTGCACCCGTGCGAGTCAGTGGTCGAAACCGCGCTTCGGCGGTTCGTGGTGTTCCTAGAACAGATCAAGTTCGAGGTAGGTCAGTCCCTTGCGGTTGGGCTGGAAAGATATTTAATCGACTGCCCACAGTGAGCTTGATTTAGATTATTCTTTTTTTGCAAGGATGGTGAGGATGGGGATCAATCGACTGAAAAGATAGAGAGCTGAAGATAGAGTAACTTTCGCCTTGTGAGGGGAATTTGATGCATTGATCACTCATTGTATAGTCCGCAGTATGACTTTTTGGATCTCGATTCTGACTTTCTGTATGGTGATGGTGATGGTGACTCAATAGCATGGTGACAGCAAGCCATTGAACTTGATGCCTAAGGTGTGCGCAGAATGGTCCCTGTTTGCAATGTTTACATTTCTGTTCCGTGCCTGCCGATCCCCTTAAATTAGGCGGTGTGCATTATGTTTGTGAGATGACAAAAGCGACAATGCCCCCGCATTAATCGCACATGTCTCGATCCTGTAGGTAGCGTGTACTTGTTACCTTGATATGTATGTATTTAGGCAAAGTTGTTATGAAACCAAGTGGCATCTCCCACTTTCTCAGTGCACTGCATGGGGTTGAATGGCAAACGGCACAACAGCTCTTTCACTGAAATAATGCCAAGGGAAGAACCGGGGCAGTCAGGAAATAATGTGGGCTCCGGCTCACCGTTTGCCACGGATTCGAGCGACTTCTGCTAGACTAGCTCCGTGCTCCGAGAATTGATCAGGGGGGTCTCGCGAGCTGTCCTCGCCATGTTGCAGGTACATTTGCTGCAGGACATGCCATCTTTTCCAGTGTTCGCTTCCTTGTTGTACAAACCCCGCGTGCACCACACTCCACGTCTGTAGCATCAGTCTATATAGTGTTGTTGTCTATCGAGATTGGCTTTCATCAATAGCCCCTCAGACATCCCTCGACTGCAGCAACTTCAGGATTTCTCAACAGCGCACAGGGACGCTACGCTAGTGTAGTCAAGACCCAAACACAACGGTGAGTCTCGATCAGATTAGACAAAAGCGGATCTGATAGCTGAAGGGTGGCTTGTCTGGTGCTGAACCGAAGAATCTGATTAGATCAATAGTGAGGCCCGAACACTGGAACCGCTGGGACTGATTTACGTACCTTTACATGGTAAGGACGTTGTAACGGACTAGTCTCAGACATTGTTACCGGTCACAGGTGAAATCCGTAGTGTTTCGATGTGACTTACCCCTCACTGGCAACGGACTTCCAGCACTAATCTGTGTGTTCAAGGTTTCAGAGCACCACTCAACTTGGACTAACAAGGTTCCTTCCGATTTCAGCATCCCTTCTCGCACATCCAGTCCGAGTTTAGGTTGGGTACCTTGGTTACGAAGCTGTGTACTGATTGATAAGTGACCTTGTTTCCTGGTCCCAGGGAACCGGCTCCATAACAACGGGTCGGTCGGATCAGGTCGGGTCAAAGCAGAAGTGGACTGCTCCTCCCACCACCCACCACAGAGCAAGACACAGAGAAAAATACCATACCCACATAGCAACTGCCGGTCTCAGAAATACATTCAGCCGAGGGAAAAGGAGAACGTGGCCTATGAATTCATTCTCCACAATTACGCGATAACAGAGGGGTTTGTTTTCTTAAAGGCCACCGCTGGCATCATCCCATCATTTGCAAGCTTCCGTGGGATTTCTGGAAAACTCCCTCCCTCTCTTCCGTCGTCACCTTCAACTTTCTGCAACACAGAGAACATCAGCTCTCTAGCACCACGCACATCATGTTGTACTCCAAATTCTGGCCCAAGGGTGGTATCCCGGGCATGCTCCACCACTACGTACGTTCAACGATTGACTACTCCGCAGCAAAGGTAGAGACATAGCAAAAAGGCAACTGACCATCTCATCCCTCGATACCACAGACTGAATCCCTCGTCACCTTTGAATACACAACCGGCAAGGTCGCCCAACCCCACAGTCTCCTCTTCGTCGGCGGTCTGGGCGATGGTATCGGCACCACTTCCTACGTCGCCGACATGGCGAAGATGATGGAGCAAAGCGACTGGTCCATCTTCATGCTCAACCTCACCTCCTCTTACAACTCCTGGGGTCTGGGCCACCTGGACCGCGACACGAACGAGATCACGAAGTGCCTCAACTACATCCGCGATTACAAGACCGAGAA